GGGATGTTTAAAAACCACTGTAAAGTTTCCCCAACTGCATATGTTTCGTTTCCCAAAGAACGAAGCACAACAAGAAACATGGTTAATGAATTGCGGTAAGCTCCAAAATAATATTTTTTTCAATTATTACATTTTAATATACACTTAAAATAAAATTATAGGAAACACACAATTATTGTCACTTGACAAATCCCAATTGTACAATCGTTACATTTGTCAGGAGCATTTTGGACCAGATTCATTCATGAATTCTGAAAAAAAAAAATTAAAGCCACTTTCTGTACCATTAAATTTCAACTCTGATGAGCGTCCAAGTGGGTCAATTGGTAAATATATTTTATATTTAAAAGGTTTTGGGTAATAATTAATTAAACAATAAATTACAATATATAATATAGGTAATGTTTACATAAAATAATATAATATTCTAAACAAAAATAATTAAAATACAAAAAAAAAAAATTCCTCACATTAACTATTTTTTTTAGGAAATGATAATATAATACCCTCTGATTTCATGTTGACTCCAACAAAATGCTTGACTCCAACTAAAACGTATGCCAATATAAAGAATAATTCAGAAGGTGAAATACTATTTTCAAGTCCACCGTTAAATATTTTTACACCAACACAAAGATGTAGAATCAACAATTTAATTGAAATGCCAAGCCCTACTTCTATTAGAAAACGTAACCTTCAAGATGATTTAGATTCACCAATAAAAAAAAAATTAAAAACAAAATTGATAAATAGCACTAGAAAGTTGCATAGTAAGGTTACCATTATTTCAAAAATGAAAAAAAAAATAGTTACATTAAAAACAAGAAACACATTACATAATATACTACACTCACATAAATTTCCATCCAAAAACTCAAAAGCACTAGTCACAATGCAACTGAAAAGTAAAAAACGCCCATGGACAGAGGACGAAAAGAACTTTGCTCTTTCTTTATTTTATAAATCGCCAGCCGCATATAAATTTTTAAGACTTCAAAAAGTAAATTTACCAGCTCCTTCCACAATCCGTAATTGGATTGGAGAATCTAAATTTTTACCAGGCTTTAACAGATCATTTTTAGAACATATAAAAAAAAAATTTGAAGCTAAAAGTTACAAAGAAAAGGCATGTAGTGTTTTATTTGATGAAATTTCCATCAAAGAGTTTTTGGAATATTCTAAACAATACGACTTTGTAGAAGGTTTTGAGGATATTGGTAAAATTGGAAGAGGAAATAAAACTGCCAATACAGCACTTGTTTTTATGGTTAGAGGCATATATTCATCTTGGAAATTTCCTATTGCTTATTTCCTAGCTCATTCTGCGGTGAAATCTAAAACGTTGAAAACATTAATAGTTGATGTTATAAAAGAACTAATAGGTGTAGGACTTTGTCCAAAATTAACAGTCTGTGACCAAGGAACGAACAACCAAAGTGCTCTTAAATTATTGAATGTAAGTGAAGATAAGCCTTATTTTTTTATAGATGAAAATAAAATATTTGCCATTTTTGATGTCCCCCATCTTGTTAAGAGCATCAGGAACAATTTAATAGGTAGTGTTTTTAAAAAAGATGACAAAGAAATTTCTTATACTGATATAATTGATACTTATCAAGTGGACAAAAAAAATAAAAAAAGTAGGGCTCTATTAAAAATAACTGATGCACATATATTCCCTAATTCTTTCCAAAAAATGAGGGTAAAATTTGCCACTCAAGTATTTAGCCATTCAATGGCATCAACAATGCGGACGTGTATACAAACAAAACAATTACAAAATAAAAACGCACAAGATACAGCAGATTTCGTAGACTTCATGAACAAACTTTTTGATTGCTTGAATAGTAGAACTCTTCTAAGTAATAATCCATATAATTGTGCTCTTTCGGATGTGGGAAAAGTGAAACCTTTTTTAATGAAAGCTTCAACATATTTCACAAATATGCATAAATATAAAAAAGGAAAGATGTCTCGTCCTCCCTGTTTCAATGGAATTACACAAACCATTAATGGAATATTGAATCTATTTGAAGAAGAAAAACAAAATGGTATTTTGTTTTTACTTACCAACCGCTTCAATCAGGACATTTTAGAAAATCTCTTTAGTATTTTCCGTCAAAAAGGGGGGTACAACAAAAATCCTACTGCTAGGACTTTGAGAACATCGTTTCGAAGTAATTGTATTTTTTCATTGGTCACTTCAAAAGGAACTAACTGCAAAGCAAATATAGAAGATTTGGATGAAATTCAGTTGCAAGAACAGGTTAGCTTAGTCGTTGAATTACCTCCTCAAGATCCACTATCATCATCATCATCATCATCGTCTTCACCAACACCATCAACATTATCGTCACCTACGCCATCATCATTATCATTGTTGACATCAACATCTTTAAATAATATAGAAATTAAAGAAGAAGAACCGATAACATTAGAAGATTGTTCAGTATTATACTTTGCAGGATATTTGGCTCATAGATGTATTGCACAATTTAACTGTACAAATTGTATCAATTATCTGTTGACAAACAAAAACATTGACGATAAAAACCAATTATTATTATTAAACAAAAATTATACTTATTTAGAAATTCAAAACGATATAGGATTGAAAGCACCATCAAAAGATTTTAATAATATAATAAATAAAGCTCTTACTATTTTTGAAGATAAAATTAAAAATATTTTACATAAAAAAAAAATAAAATCAAAATTGATGTCAATTTTTTATAAGGATTTTGTTATTAATAAATGGATTGATGATGAAAATATAATGTGTAAAGAACATAAAATATTTATTTTAGAAAAACTTTTGATATGCAAAATTTTTAAAACAGCTAAATTATTTTCAACAACATCAACCCAGACAAAAATAGCTAAATTAAAAATTTTAAATCATATTTAATCCAATTTTATTTTCATAAATAGTTTTTAAATTTATATTTTTATTAATTTTGACAAATTGATATATTAATTATGTGTATTATATAATCAATGATTATACCTATAAACTATTGAATTTTATATTTTAATTGAAACATTATTATTATTAACATAACAGTATTATAACGTTTAGTGAATTTTTCTTACTTACCTCTCAATTTTATTTATATTACCTGTTATTACTATTATTTTATACATTACAATATTATGACATTTATGGAGTTATCACATGAACAATTTATTAATATTTAATGATTCAATAAAATTTAATGGACCAATTTATTATTATTTGATTATTAATTTTTTAAGCTACCTATTCTATTAGCTCACTATTGATTCATTAAAATATGTTTAGTAATTGTTCAAGCAACCCAGCATTAGTGTAGATATTATTTGTTAACCTACTAAATTGTATTTACATTTATATAAATTGTTGACAATTTTAGGACAAATTGTATTTTATATGTTAAAAAAATTTTTATTATAATTTAAATGAAATAATTAATTTGATTCAAATATACAAAATATAGGTACCTATATATAGTGAATAGTGATTCACTCACCTTATACAAGAAAATTCCATTCAATAACTCACTATTGATGTATTGATTTATGTTCTTTAATGTTCAAGTTACAACAGTCTACAGAATATGAGTATTTCCTATTTAGTTTATAAATTATATTTTGAAGACAGTCAGTAAACTCGTGGCCCGTGGTCTGTTGTATTATATAATAATATAATATTAAATTGTCATCAATGGTTATACCAGGTTATACCATTGATATCATTCAATATATTAATTAATAGTGGTCACAAATGCAACAGCGACATCTCGTGAAAATAAATTCAACTATAATTCTAGTCAACGAATATTCCTATGGCATTGCTTATCTGTGTATTATCATTGATTATATAATACACAGATAAGCAATGCCATAGGAATATTCGTTGACTAGAATTATAGTTGAATTTATTTTCACGAGATGTCGCTGTTGCATTTGTGACCACTATTAATTAATATATTGAATGATATCAATGGTATAACCTGGTATAACCATTGATGACAATTTAATATTATATTATTATATAATACAACAGACCACGGGCCACGAGTTTACTGACTGTCTTCAAAATATAATTTATAAACTAAATAGGAAATACTCATATTCTGTAGACTGTTGTAACTTGAACATTAAAGAACATAAATCAATACATCAATAGTGAGTTATTGAATGGAATTTTCTTGTATAAGGTGAGTGAATCACTATTCACTATATATAGGTACCTATATTTTGTATATTTGAATCAAATTAATTATTTCATTTAAATTATAATAAAAATTTTTTTAACATATAAAATACAATTTGTCCTAAAATTGTCAACAATTTATATAAATGTAAATACAATTTAGTAGGTTAACAAATAATATCTACACTAATGCTGGGTTGCTTGAACAATTACTAAACATATTTTAATGAATCAATAGTGAGCTAATAGAATAGGTAGCTTAAAAAATTAATAATCAAATAATAATAAATTGGTCCATTAAATTTTATTGAATCATTAAATATTAATAAATTGTTCATGTGATAACTCCATAAATGTCATAATATTGTAATGTATAAAATAATAGTAATAACAGGTAATATAAATAAAATTGAGAGGTAAGTAAGAAAAATTCACTAAACGTTATAATACTGTTATGTTAATAATAATAATGTTTCAATTAAAATATAAAATTCAATAGTTTATAGGTATAATCATTGATTATATAATACACATAATTAATATATCAATTTGTCAAAATTAATAAAAATATAAATTTAAAAACTATTTATGAAAATAAAATTGGATTAAATATGATTTAAAATTTTTAATTTAGCTATTTTTGTCTGGGTTGATGTTGTTGAAAATAATTTAGCTGTTTTAAAAATTTTGCATATCAAAAGTTTTTCTAAAATAAATATTTTATGTTCTTTACACATTATATTTTCATCATCAATCCATTTATTAATAACAAAATCCTTATAAAAAATTGACATCAATTTTGATTTTATTTTTTTTTATGTAAAATATTTTTAATTTTATCTTCAAAAATAGTAAGAGCTTTATTTATTATATTATTAAAATCTTTTGATGGTGCTTTCAATCCTATATCGTTTTGAATTTCTAAATAAGTATAATTTTTGTTTAATAATAATAATTGGTTTTTATCGTCAATGTTTTTGTTTGTCAACAGATAATTGATACAATTTGTACAGTTAAATTGTGCAATACATCTATGAGCCAAATATCCTGCAAAGTATAATACTGAACAATCTTCTAATGTTATCGGTTCTTCTTCTTTAATTTCTATATTATTTAAAGATGTTGATGTCAACAATGATAATGATGATGGCGTAGGTGACGATAATGTTGATGGTGTTGGTGAAGACGATGATGATGATGATGATGATAGTGGATCTTGAGGAGGTAATTCAACGACTAAGCTAACCTGTTCTTGCAACTGAATTTCATCCAAATCTTCTATATTTGCTTTGCAGTTAGTTCCTTTTGAAGTGACCAATGAAAAAATACAATTACTTCGAAACGATGTTCTCAAAGTCCTAGCAGTAGGATTTTTGTTGTACCCCCCTTTTTGACGGAAAATACTAAAGAGATTTTCTAAAATGTCCTGATTGAAGCGGTTGGTAAGTAAAAACAAAATACCATTTTGTTTTTCTTCTTCAAATAGATTCAATATTCCATTAATGGTTTGTGTAATTCCATTGAAACAGGGAGGACGAGACATCTTTCCTTTTTTATATTTATGCATATTTGTGAAATATGTTGAAGCTTTCATTAAAAAAGGTTTCACTTTTCCCACATCCGAAAGAGCACAATTATATGGATTATTACTTAGAAGAGTTCTACTATTCAAGCAATCAAAAAGTTTGTTCATGAAGTCTACGAAATCTGCTGTATCTTGTGCGTTTTTATTTTGTAATTGTTTTGTTTGTATACACGTCCGCATTGTTGATGCCATTGAATGGCTAAATACTTGAGTGGCAAATTTTACCCTCATTTTTTGGAAAGAATTAGGGAATATATGTGCATCAGTTATTTTTAATAGAGCCCTACTTTTTTTATTTTTTTTGTCCACTTGATAAGTATCAATTATATCAGTATAAGAAATTTCTTTGTCATCTTTTTTAAAAACACTACCTATTAAATTGTTCCTGATGCTCTTAACAAGATGGGGGACATCAAAAATGGCAAATATTTTATTTTCATCTATAAAAAAATAAGGCTTATCTTCACTTACATTCAATAATTTAAGAGCACTTTGGTTGTTCGTTCCTTGGTCACAGACTGTTAATTTTGGACAAAGTCCTACACCTATTAGTTCTTTTATAACATCAACTATTAATGTTTTCAACGTTTTAGATTTCACCGCAGAATGAGCTAGGAAATAAGCAATAGGAAATTTCCAAGATGAATATATGCCTCTAACCATAAAAACAAGTGCTGTATTGGCAGTTTTATTTCCTCTTCCAATTTTACCAATATCCTCAAAACCTTCTACAAAGTCGTATTGTTTAGAATATTCCAAAAACTCTTTGATGGAAATTTCATCAAATAAAACACTACATGCCTTTTCTTTGTAACTTTTAGCTTCAAATTTTTTTTTTATATGTTCTAAAAATGATCTGTTAAAGCCTGGTAAAAATTTAGATTCTCCAATCCAATTACGGATTGTGGAAGGAGCTGGTAAATTTACTTTTTGAAGTCTTAAAAATTTATATGCGGCTGGCGATTTATAAAATAAAGAAAGAGCAAAGTTCTTTTCGTCCTCTGTCCATGGGCGTTTTTTACTTTTCAGTTGCATTGTGACTAGTGCTTTTGAGTTTTTGGATGGAAATTTATGTGAGTGTAGTATATTATGTAATGTGTTTCTTGTTTTTAATGTAACTATTTTTTTTTTCATTTTTGAAATAATGGTAACCTTACTATGCAACTTTCTAGTGCTATTTATCAATTTTGTTTTTAATTTTTTTTTTATTGGTGAATCTAAATCATCTTGAAGGTTACGTTTTCTAATAGAAGTAGGGCTTGGCATTTCAATTAAATTGTTGATTCTACATCTTTGTGTTGGTGTAAAAATATTTAACGGTGGACTTGAAAATAGTATTTCACCTTCTGAATTATTCTTTATATTGGGCAGTACGTTTTAGTTGGAGTCAAGCATTTTGTTGGAGTCAACATGAAATCAGAGGGTATTATATTATCATTTCCTAAAAAAAATAGTTAAGGTGAGGAATTTTTTTTTTTTTGTATTTTAATTATTTTTGTTTAGAATCTTATAGTATTTCTGTAAACATTACCTATATTATATATTGTAATTTATTGTTTAATTAATTATTACCCAAAACCTTTTAAATATAAAATATATTTACCAATTGACCCACTTGGACGCTCATCAGAGTTGAAATTTAATGGTACAGAAAGTGGCTTTAATTTTTTTTTTTCAGAATTCATGAATGAATCTGGTCCAAAATGCTCCTGACAAATGTAACGATTGTACAATTGGGATTTGTCAAGTGACAATAATTGTGTGTTTCCTATAATTTTATTTTAAGTGTATATTAAAATGTAATAATTGAAAAAAATATTATTTTGGAGCTTACCGCAATTCATTAACCATGTTTCTTGTTGTGCTTCGTTCTTTGGGAAACGAAACATATGCAGTTGGGGAAACTTTACAGTGGTTTTTAAACATCCCACATATTGACATTTTGTACCAGGCATGTTATTTAAATAATGAATTTAAAAATTTAAATAAAAAATAAGAAATTTAGGTACAATAAGAAATTCTAAAATTTATCGGCAAACAAAATGTAATAAAAAATAATAAATTTAGGTACAATAAGAAATTCTAAAATTCATTGGCAAACAAAATGTATAAGCAGAACAATAATCCACGAGTGAAATCAAGATGCAACTAGTCTTCTGTACATTTAGGTATATTATATTGACCAACCAAAGTTAATTTCAGTTCCGGTTTCAATTTTTATTAACACAATGACAGTATTATTTTTCATTGAGATTGTATAATGTACCTATATTATGATAGTTACTATACAAGGTGTAACAGATAGAACTGACTTTTGGAATAACTTTTGTTCTAATCAATATTTTAAAATTTTTAATATTTTTATTTTTTAATACCGAAAATAAAAAATTTTTAAACTGATTTAAATTTTTTTGATTAAATTCAAAATAGCCAATTTGTGAATCTGATTATAAGAACGATTTGGATAGTAAAAACATTTATCTAAGTCAAGTAGTTTTTTTTTTTTTACAATTTTTTTTAAATATCAATATTTTTTTGATTCAATTAATTTGGAACGCAATAACTTTTTTAAAAGTATTATTTTTGGCAATTTGCTAACATGGGTATATTTCTTAAACTATTTACTAATCATATAATTTTATCAATTTTTTTTTTCGATCAGTTCTTTTTGTTACACCCTGTATATACGTCTGCGGGATAATGTAGGATAATTTTAAACCGGTCTAGTTTAGCGATTTGTGGTATCGTTGATACAAATGCAGTCTGTTATCTTGCTATTATATAATATAATATCTGTATTAGAATGGACTTAAATTATCCATTCTATCGGTTAGTACGTGGTTTACGTATATGTTTGTTCTTAATATATTTTAAGCAACGAATAACGACTACCAGCCAGTCAGCCATCAGTGTTAACCGACAGCGCTCCTAACGACTGCCAGCGGTTATCGAATGCCGACAGCGCTTCTAACGGCTGCCAGCGGTTGCCGACAGCGCTCCGTAGTGGCTGCCAGAAATTAATTGTCAACGAATATTCCTATGGCATTGCTTATCTGAGTATTATA